TTGCTTCGCATTGGTCATCATTTGTGATTTTATTTTATTTTTTCGATTTAAATGCTCAGTTGTGCTCAACTTTAACACAAGTCTACTGGCCTCAGCATCTTTAGTTGTATTCAGTTTTATATCATTTGGGATGATTAAACTGAATACAAACTGATGATTGTGTTGTTAATTTTAGAAGTGCAAAATCTAAGCTTCTTCCGACAGTCTAGACACAGCTTGTGGGATTTTGTGTTTCATCCTCTAGGCGATTCTGTAAATAAGTGGTAAGATTTTTAGTAGTCTAATCATTTGACTGTAGTATTGGCCCTTTTAATATCCTGCTTATTGCTTTTGTTTTGTTTCTTGAAATTTGATACACTTGCTGTTGTTGAGCTACAGCCTAGTGTATTTCATGCCATTTCCTTACCCTCTATAAAAGCAATGATATCTGTGATTGAGGCTTTGTCAAGAGCCTCAATCATCAGATAAAAAGAGATCAATCAGATAAAAAGAGATGACAGCTGTGCTGTCATCTCTTTTTATCTGATCTTCTTATCTGATGTTTGTACATCTCTTGAACAATGTACAGTGAATAATAAAGTTTGCCTACTCTTCTTCTGAGATTTTCTGACTGATTCAGGGATGATCCATTTTTGGTGCCTTATGCTTTAAGAAGGCTAAATGAATGTCAATCGAGTTTGGAGGATGGTGAACTTGGTAGCTGTTGAATTGTGCAATTACTATTGCTTCACTGGGACCTTTAGTGATGACATTGCATTCTGGGGCCTGGTAAGGTAAGCTTTTTGTGGACATTTTGTATAAAAGAAAAATCCTACCTTTTTGTGCATACATTAACAACTTCAAACAAAATAGCATAAGTGAATTATGATTTTAACCATTGGCAAGAAGTATTTATCTATTTAATACCTAAAATTATAGGCTTGATAAAAGACAGAGATTTGTTTGTTATGTGTTATAGGTTTAATTTGCAAAACATTTGTTTTCATTACAAAGATTACGAACTGAAAGCAGATTGTCATTTTTTTGGTACTACACATGAAAAAAGTGCATGTGATGGAGTAGGTGGTACAGTGAAAAGAGTTATTAATAACCTGTCCAAAGGCCAGTTTTTAATCAAATGTTGACATCAAAAGATGTTTTTAGTTGCTTATGTATTTAAGGATTTTCTGATAATGTTAAGATAATAACGCAAACTACAGATCATGCAGATCACTATTGATTTTGACTGCAGATATTACAACTTCTAATATCTTGTTTTAAAAACTTTTGCCACTTTACGAGGTTTTGCTGTAGTAGTCTATTATAAGTAGTGGATTGGTATTGTAACTGAAATTAACCAAAAAGTTGGTCCTGAAGTAAAGTTTTTCTACCCAATATGTCCATCGGTTCATCATTTTAAGTTCCCTCAAAGAGACCACTACTGGTTATTACATAATAAAAATCTGAGAAAAAAAACTTTCTCTAGTTACAGTAGAAACTATTTATTTGGAAAAGCTAAAATGGAAAAAGCTTGAGCGAAATGGCAACAATATTTTGAAATATTACAACTGCAGTCAAAACAACTTGTATCTTATATACCTTAAAAAATATTGTATAAATTAAACTGAATTCTGCATCAAAAAAACATGTTTATTTTCAATTTTTTTTTCAATTGTTGTTCCTTTTTTTTTAATGTCATAAAAACCAGGTCATTGTCATGAATATAATAAATTTAATACAATAAAAACAATAAAAAAAGACATTAAATGTATGTTGCACAAAATTTTAATGCAAGTAGGCATTTAGTTAGTATACAATATCCAAAGAAGAATTCAATAACCTGCTAACAAATGCTAACAAAAACTAAGCCAGAATTAAAAGATCAGGCATAAAAAAAGCGGCCAGCAAATAGAGAAAATAAAAGAGTATTTTTTTTTACTAATTTTTAAAAGTAACAAATTGCTCATCTTCAATGCAGTATTAAAATTGTCTCAATGTATCATTAAATCTGAGAAGCCTATTTGTAAATCTGATAATCAACTTAAAAATGGAAATATTGTTTTTATTAATTTTATCAATGCGAGGATTCAATACATTGGCAATTTATGGACACAATGATTCATCACATTCTACTATTAAAAGAAGCAATTAAAATCAATGGTGCACCTTAAAATTGATCTCAAAAAAACTCATCCTAAAAAATCAAATTTCAAAATAATCACTTCAAATACAAAGTTATATGGTACAACCCTCTGTCCATCTTTCCCCCTCCTTCTGCAAAAATATTAAAACAAAAATTCAAAGTTGTTAAGCTTTAAGTGCCACTTTCCAGTAGATCTCACGTTCCAGTAGATCTCAGAGTATATAAAATTTTTGATCATAAGTTAACTACAATTGTGTGCAAAAATGTGAAATCTCTTTATTTTAAAGTTTTGTTTAGTGTTGCTGAAACCCTATTTAGATTAAGGTGTGTTAACTATTTTAACGCACATATTTTATTATAATGCAAATATTTTAACGCACTTAAAATAAAAACTCTCTAAAGAAATATGGAAACTTAAAAATAAAACTTTTACTTAAATGAAAAAAAACAAAGCAAAACCAACAGCCAATCAACAAAATTTTGTAATTTTGTATTCAATATCTGGTGATTACCAATAGACATGAAACTTCTATAAAAGAGAATAAAAAAAATTGTCCTATTTATGTTTTATTATTTTCACCACTCCAGATGCAATTCAGTTGACTTTAGTACATTCGTTTTATATTTTTGGATTTGTGTAGAAATCTTTTTTTCTCATTTAACATTAGTTAAATGAGAAAAAAAGATTTCTACACAAATCCAAAAATATAACATCCACCACATGTGCAATAAAATTAGTATACACCTGAGTGACTACTCAGAGATTATTTTGAGTTATTACAAAATGTTAAGTAAGGAGTTACCAAAATAGAAGGCCATTTTAATGCCAATGTTTTAAAATAATTATCAAAGTATAAAGCCTAATTTGGGTACCCATGGTAACTATATTTTTGTTGTCAATCTTTTGCATTCTCATTCTACTCCATGGTTTTCACACACTTTTGCAGCTGTTATGTCTGATCTTTTTTTTTTTAAATGACTCACAGAATAAACAGCTATTAGTTATTGAAAAAAATTAATGTAAAATAGTGCTATCTGATGCTAAGCTCCATTATTCTCAGGTCACTAAATCTTGTATCTTATCTCAGAAGGCTCTAGAGACTTTTGGAAAATCTTCAACAGTATCATTAACAAAGGTCTAACATTCTGTCTCATTTGTCAATATTAAATCTGATCTAACTTCTGTAACAGGTTAGGGCTTGCAGTTGCTTGTGAATTTTCTCCAATAAAATTCAGTTATTTACTGTGATAGTTGTTTACTGCAAACAACTATTACAATACTGTCAGCATTCCTATACTAATGAATGGCAACCCTCTCACTGAGTCTTCTTTTCTTGGATTATAGTTTACAGCTGACCTCTCTTGGAAACTCTATATACAATAGATTGTTAAATTAGCATCTACTAAATTCGGTTCTCTTTATTGTGCTTGCCATTTTCTTACTCCTGATTCCATTCTCTACCTCTACAAATCTTTTTTTCTCTCCTGTATGGAATACTGTTGTCATATTGTTGGTTGGTTTTTCTAATAATGCTCTTTCTCTTCTAGACAAAGCCATTGTAAAAGTAGTTGGACCCGCTCTATCTGCTGAGCTTGAGCCTCTCTCCCATTATCTTTATCTTTTCTACAAATACTATTGCCTAATATGGTTGCTGCTCAAAGGACCTGTCATTTCTAGTTCCATCAACTAAAACTTATTCTTACTGGACTCATCAACTAAACCTTATTCTTGCTGTGCCTGCATACTCTCAAAAAATTTATTTGTGTAGTTTTTTTCCCCACACTTCAACCCTTTAGAACTGTCTCCCATTTTCATGTTTTCCTGACTCGTTTAACCTACAACTTTTCAAGTCTTCCATCAACTGTTTCCTTGCTTTTTAGCTCTATTCTTTTTTCCTTGTAACTCCTAACTTAATAGTGATTACTTGCATCCTTGTTAGAAGTAAATTAGAATTAAAAAAAAAAAGTTTGTGTTGAGTTCTTACAATATATGGAAAATTCATATTTGTGAAGGCGATTAAAATTTAAATGATTAATTAAAATAAAATCATCTAAAAAATTTAATTTTTAGATTTGCATTTAGCAATACAAATAATAGATGGACAACTTGGTGATTTCATAATATTTACTGTTGATCCTACCAAAAAGTTTTTAGGTCTTATTCAGTATACTCTTTGTAAATTAAAAAAAGATAAAAATTAAATAAAACCTCTAAAATAATTCTATATAAGGTGTAATGGTACTTGGGTAGAAAAACTGTGACCAATTTCTCCTAATGTTAAAATTTGTTAAAAGTTGTATAAAAAATTTTATGCCTTTAATATTAGTGATATCAAAAAGTTCTCCAAAAATAGAGTGTTCTTCGATTGTTTTTTTTTTTTTCTGTTTTTTTTTTTAATTATTTGTCACAAAACATAGCTTACTTACTTTAGCACAACTAACTTTATTTTTTTTGTGTTTTTCAGTTGATTAGCATAAGTTATTATTTGCAGTGCCCTATTTGAAATTGTAGATTTGAACTACCCAGATTGTTTAATTGATTCTGTCAGTGGAAGATAATACCATATAAATAATATCAGCCAGTTTCTGATAATCTTTACTGAAATAGGTAATGCTCTTTGGTCGTGGCGAATTATTTACACATGAGAAAGAAATCTCTTATATAAAACCTCTATTTTATCTGTAAGTTGGGGTAGGAGATAGAGCTTATAAAGCCTTGGTGGTAATCTTTCCAGTGATTATATCACAATAAAAGTACTTGTTCCTGGTCTGAAAATATAGGTTAACACTTTTTTTGATTTATTGTAAACTATAACTTTAAATATTTTTTTTTTTGTTGTTGTTGTTGTTTTTCATTTGCTATTTAAAATTAATTTAGTTTTCCAACAGATGAAAGTAATGATCCTTTCGAACTTTTCATTTGTCCCTATGATCCTTATCACAAGATTACTTCAAAAAACTGGCGAAATCATCTCATGCGATGTGCAAAGGTAATTTTTAATGTTTTTAACAAATTTTTATTATGTTAGATTATTATCGCTATTTATTTTCAGAATTGTTTTTTTGCATAAAAATCTTTCGAATAAAATTTGTAACTAAAAAAAAGTTTAATAATGGATCAAATGTGTTATTAATGTATTGTTATGAAGGTAATGTTATTAAGGTATTGTTTTTAATGTATTGTTTTTAATGTATTATTATATCAATGACATTTAAATATGAAGTAAAATAGTTATTATAAACTATATTTTAAGAGCAAGTTTTTGTTTCATAAATTCTTTTCATTAAGTTTGAGAAAGCTCTACAAGTATTGACAAACTGATGTAAAAAAAGTTGGTAAAAGTTGAAATATAAAAGTATATGTAAAAGTATATTATAAACCTTTGATCGTCCTATCATCCTGCTGGTATCATAATTAAAATACTTGGTTCTGATCAAAAGAACTGATCATAATTAAAATACTTGGTTTACATCAAAAAGGGCATCCAGTATGTATAAAATAGTTTCATCTCTTCTATAATTGAATAAAAGCCTGTAAACATACTGGAAGTTGAAAGTTTCTGGAAAAGTTCCAGAAAAGGTTTAGATTTATTCCGCATTTGATTATTTTTTGATTAGTTGTTTATTATATGAACTTTTTATTTCAATTTAAAATTGTTTAAACCATAGAAAATCCAATAAAATGTTCCAAACTTAGAAAATCAATCAAAATGACCTTTCGGAACAATATATAGAGCATAAGCTCTATAACTTCTCACAGTTAAAGCTCTATAACTGCTTTTATATACTTTGTAATATATATATATATATGTATATATATATATATATATATATATATATATATATATATATATATATATATATATATATATATATATATATATATATATATATATACATATATATATATATATATATATATATATATATATATATATATATATATATATATATATATATATATATATATATATATATATATATATATATATATATTTACACACATATGTGTGTAAATATATATTAAATACAAGCTCACTCTAGTTTTCTAGTTCTAGTTTAAAAGAAAAAGTTTTTGATAATAAAGAAAAACAAGCATCCAGTGTTATTTAATAATTTAGTTTTAATATCAAAACAATTTTTTTTTTAGTTTAAATGATTTACAGTTTGTTTATGTGTGTCACATGAACTCTGTTGTCATAAGTTGTTAAATAATGAATATCATTAAAAAAAAATTTTTTTTGAATAACATAAAAAATCTGTTATCATAAATTGTTAAATGATTTAGGTCATTCTAACTATTTTAAACCCAAATTAGTTTTCTCATTTTTTATTATCTTTTTTGTATTATGATATTTTAAACCTTTTTACTGATTTCTTAGATATATAAGCTTAATGAAAAAATCTTTATTTGGTTGATACTGTGTGATTGCATTAGTTTTGTTTGAACATATTATATTATCAGACTAGATCTTACTGTCTGTTAAGCATAATATATTTTTTTGCCTGAAATTGTAGTTGTTAATTTGGCATTTTTTAATTATAAGTTAAAATTTTATGACATTGCAGAATTCTAGAATTCTTTTTTAAGTGTTCTTGTATATTTTATTTCTTATTTAGTTTTGGAACATTGTGAGTTTGTGAGTTAGATGAATGTTTTTTATTGAATATTATAATAGCTGTTTATTTTATTGAACTGTTATTTTTTATTGTTGTTTTATAGAACTATGGTGGGAAGTTCAAAGCATGTACATATAATGCAAGTCATAAAATTCCTGAGCCAGAGTATGATTGGCACATACGAATTTGCAATGATAGAGTATTTTTTTTTAACTTTTCATTTAATTTATTTTGGGAGATTTCCATAAAATAATCAAGTCAAAACACATGTTTTGTTCAGATAAAAAAAAATTATGAAAAATAAATTTGAACCTAATTCCTACTAAACTTTAATAATAATGTAAACAAGTAAAAACAAATCCATTTTTGTTTTTGTTGAAAATTGCCATTTTATTTTCTAGGATTTTAAATTCAATAGAAACCTAAGTACTCCATTAAACCATTACAGTAATAAAAAACATGTAATTTTTATACAAATTTATATGTGTTCATTCATCTATCATTTATATCATTTATTTTCAAAAAATTTTATTTAAATGATGAAAAGATATACAAGGGAAGGAATTTTTTTAAACAACTTTATCAACCAATAGCCAATGCTTATTACCAGAAAAATATATATTTTTTAATGTAATGTTAAAAACAAATAAATTGTATTTTTACTCATATAACTATCAAAATAAAACTTAGAGTGTGCACTTTATTTTTGTGGGCACAACAAAATAGCATAATAATAACATATATTAGCATAATTAACATTCATTATTTTATGGTCATAAAAAGAGACGGGTTGCAAATTTAAAAGTACTTTTCAGTTAAACTTTATCAAGCATTGGTAGTTACCAATTTATATTTTGTATAATTTTTCGATTTTTTTTTTTTTCGATTTTTTTTTTCGTAAATTGTCTCTAGGTGCAACAATGTGGCTCAAAAAATAACATAATTGAAATTTAAAAATTTTGATATATATCTTTTTATATTTTAACAATAAATGAAATTTTAAACCTCTTATATCTTTAACGAATACTACAATCTGGTATCATAACGTTTTCTTAAACAAAAGAAATCATTCTTGCATATTACTATTTTCTGTATATTATGTAATTGTTATAATAAGGTTGTTTGTCACATGGCAAAACATTTCTATTTACCTGATTGCATGTTGCTCTTTTGAAAGCTACACTTACAAAAATTATCTTACATAGCTCTATAAATTAAAATAAAATAAGAAATAAAAAGTTAGAAAAATGATTAAAATGGCAAAAAAAAAAAAAAAAAGAAGCAAACCATTTCATTTCGAAACATGCTTTTTCACAACAACCACTTTGTTAAGAAAGATTTTAAAACTTGTATTTACAAAAATTAAAAAAAAACATTTCTATTTACCTGATTGCATGTTGTTCTTTTGAAAGCTGCACTTACGAAAATAATCTTACATAGCTATATAAATTTGAATTAAAAAAAAAAGAAGCAAATCAGTTCATTTCAAAACAACCACTTAGTTAAGAAGGATTTTACAACTTGTATTTACAAAAATGACTTGAAAATTAGTTAAGTTTATTAAAATGTTTGTGTCTTGTTAAAAAGTTATTGAAATAGGTCAAATACTTTTTGAGTTTTAATAATTTTATTTTCTGCTTCTTCCAAATCTGTTTGTGAAGCAATATTACCTATTGATATTATTTGATGGTCCAAATATTTTATAAACTTAATAGATAAAATTTTTTTTTGTTTTTTTTTTGACCACTAGCTATTTGGGGTTTATACTTAGTTCATAAGTTTCAATACATAGTTATCAAAAGTTCTTGTTTTGCAAGTGCTTACTTCCAAAAGCATTACTTTTGTAAGATTTTTATTTGGAAGTTCCACTTGCTAAAGTCTAAATTTGAAAAATGCTTGCAAAATGTACTTTGAAAATTTTAAATATTTTTTTGATTTGGTAAGAAACAAAGTGATCTTTATTTGTTGGTATCCTTTTTGAAGTGTTGTATTTTTGAAAATGTCTTTGAAATTTTACCTTATCATATATAAAAATTGTTATTTGAAAACTCTGATATAAATTAAGTAATACAAATTTTGATGCTAAATGCGGTAGTGATGTAGTGGTAGAGCTCTCGCTTCATAAACGAGTGGTTTCGAGTTCGATCCCCACCACGTCCCTGGTAGTACCGCGCTAAACTTGTTTCTCCGCGCAGCGGCCTTGTTCGTCAAGGTTCATGTTTCGGAGTTATAGAGTTGAGAGAGGGTTATAGCCACAAATAAGTAGCCTCCTCGTCTGTAGTGGCCTTCTCGGCCTTGAGGAGGTGAATTAAAATAAAAAAATAAAAATAAAATAAGATGATAAATACTTTATCCACAAAAAACCATTAAATAGCACTCAACAACAAAATAAATGATTACATGGAATATGTCATAAAAAATAACCAATTTGTTTATCAATGTTCGCATTTGAAAAATATTGTGTAAAATATGTTGCTATAAATCTTAAAACCAATTTTGGTGAATCTCAACAAAAATATTATGAGCTGTTTGTTTTTTGTATTCATATTTTATTTATTTTATAAGACATGTTTTTTGTATTTCATATTTTTTGTTTAACAAAAATAATTTAGTTTAAACTTATTTTTTCATCATTTTTTTTCGATCTAAGCATTTTTAATGACTATTCTTAAAATATTACAAGTATTAATTTTTATTAAATTTTATATTTGATTATTGCTTTTTTAGTAAACACAATAATAATAAAATGTTTTTTTGGTCTCTTTATATATTGTTCTTTTTTTAAATCAGAGTTCAAATATTTTCATGTTTTCAACGTGTGTTGCTATAAAGTTGCATAGGTTTGCCATAAAAGTTTATTTTTTAACCCTAATTTTGAAATGTTATTTTTTATTTATCTTTAAACCAATTCACTTGCAACAAGGCTGCAACAAGGCTGCAATCCACCACTATTTAAGTTAGAAGTTATGAGAGAACAAATTTTTTACAAGAAATAAAACAACAGAAGACTTTAAAAACTGAAAATTGTATGAGTTAAGTAAACATGAAGATGGTAGAGAGTTTCAAAGCATTAATGTGCTACAAAAGAAATATGAGTAAAAGTTTTAATAGTATGAAGGGACAGTTACATGCTGAATTAGATAAAGCAAAAGAGTGCTGACTTTGTTAAATGGTGAAATAAGTGAAAATAAGTTTTGGTTGATGAAGCTAAAGAAGTAGTTTGTTTAAGCAGCGGATGTGATATTTATAAAAGAAAAAGAGTTACAACCTTGCAATGATGGGATAGTAGCTTAAGCTTACTATAAATTGTGTTCAAGAAACAAAGGCGTATCTTTAAAAGAAATAGCTTAAATATAAGATCTGTATTCCAGATCCCCACCATGTCCCTGGTAGTACTGCGCTTAACTTGTTTCTCGGCGCAGGGGCCTTGTTCATCAAGGTTCGTGTTTCAGAGAGAGGGTTATAACCACAAATAAGTAGCCTTGTCTGTAGTGGCCTTCTCGGCCTTGAGGAGGAGAATTAAAAAAAAAAAAGATAGAGATGAATAAAAGATTTATAGATGTAGAGAATAGAGAAAATCAGCATGCCAGACTTTATTGAAAGTCTTTGATATGTCAAGAGTAATACCCTTAGTCTTGTCACCAATATTTAATGCACAATAAAACCTTTTTGTTTCAGCAGTTAACTGCAGAATTAGTGGATCTGGTATTCTGATTGTCAGAACGTATTAGACTGAAGATGAAATATTAGAAGTTCATTAATTAAAGACTGGGAAACCTTGCTAATAATAGAGAGAAGAATGATTAGATGATAGTTTGAAAAGTCAATATTTTTTAGAGTTTTTAAAATTTGTAAAAATTTTCCTGCAGGCAGAAAAATATCTCTGTTGTCACTGTTATTTCCAATAACAGTGACAACAGAGATATTTTTCTGCCTGCTGGAAAATTGGAAATAACAGTGACAACAGAGATATTTTTTTGCCTGCTGGAAAATTTTTACAAATTTTAAAAACTCTAAAAAATATTGACTTTTCAAACTATCATCTAATCATTCTTCTCTCTATTATTAGCAAGGTTTCCCAGTCTTTAATTAATGAACTTCTAATATTTCATCTTCAGTCTAATACGTTCTGACAATCAGAATACCAGATCCACTAATTCTGCAGTTAACTGCTGAAACAAAAAGGTTTTATTGTGCATTAAATATTGGTGACAAGACTAAGGGTATTACTCTTGACATATCAAAGACTTTCTATAAAGTCTGGCATGCTGGTTTTCTCTATTCTCTACATCTATAAATATAAAAGTCTCTAGAGCCTAACTTCTATAATAAAATACAAAATTTACTTCATCAGACAGCACTTTTTTACTTTTTTTTCTTGCAATCATAAAAAACATTTGTTTTCATAAGAATTGTTTTTTTGAAAAGGATAGAAAAAATGATTGGAAATAGCAGCTGCACAAGATGGTGAAATCAGATTTTGCTATCTTCATTAATAGAATAGGCTTGACTTGAGAGTAAGAAAAAACAAATTTGTGGTTGAGTGAAGAGATGCTAAATGGAAGCACATGAAAAAGCGGTCAAAGTATTCAAACCTGGTTTCATGACAAATAGGTAAATTAATGGTAAGATATGCCCAGACCAAGCATGTTACTACATTCAACTTATGAAAAGTTACTTCGAAATCCACAAATATTCACAAAATATAGATTAAAACAGGTGGTGGTGATTTTTTTTTTTTTTTTAACATATTTATGTACTTTATTCATGTTTTAAGTTAAAAAATATAAAACATGTTCAAAATACTACTGTTAAAACTTGTTTTATTGTTAGTGTGGATAAGGTATAATAAAATTTCTTTAAAAAATTGTCAATTCTCCAATAAGAATAAATCATTATATTAAATGTAAAATAAGTTATTTTTAAACCTGTGATGCATTTTTTTTTTAGTTTGTAAGAAATTTTATTTTTACACTAATTTACTGGACTAGTTTAATAGACTAATTTACTCTAAAATTACTGGTAACCATTGTTAATATTTTGATAATATTTTTTACTAATTTTAATATTATTTTATTCTCTTTAGTTCTTAATAGCAAAAGATGTGAACAAATACAGTAAGTAATGTAGAACATGTATATGCATACATACATACATACATTCATACATACATACATGCATACATGCATACTCTCACCTTTCAAATAAACGAGTGGTGGTGGAGGGGTGGTCTTAATAAACTGGAGAGTAATAAACAGGATCATGCTCACATGATTATTTTTCCATTTCCTTTCCTGTTTCCATAGGAAATAGTAAATAACCCGATGATGTTTTGTTCTTTCAGGCGGATTCAATTAAGTTCAGCTGCTTTTTCCTTTAAATACAAACTCTGGATTAACAACAACGCTAAATCTGAGTAAACATTTATTCTTTCACGCAATAGTGAATAGTTTTCCTTAAAATTAGTGTCAAAACCCGCAATGCTAAGCATCTTCTGTGAAGCACTCTTGTTTTCATAGAGAGGCTTTTGGTTGTTATTATACACTTGAGAATCAACAGCGAAATTATCAATAAAATCCAATATGTGTTGTTTGAAACTGCATACAGCAAGATACATCTACATGAGGCTACAGAATATCTGAGGCTACAGGAGTGAATGTAAGAAACTGGGCACTGTAATTTTTGTTGAATCAAAGTTTAAAGATAAAAAAAATATTCCAATAGAGCAGATATAATAGCTGGCCCGCTTAAAATGTGC